GTAAGAGTTACCCGACCATGTCGGGGAACAAGGGGATCCGCTCGCCCCTTAAGCCACACACCACGAAACCGTCCGGGTTGAGAGCCCAACCGTAAGGGCCGGTGGTATATTACCGAGTGATTTGGTTTACATAAGTTAGTTTAGCTTAGTCCTAAATGTCAGTAATACCCCACTTCCCCTACAATATTAATAATATATTTTTACTTAAAAAACTTAAAAGTAACTTAAAACTAACCATAGCAACAATTACATTAAATACAGTAATATGATATCAATAGAAATATATATATATACTGTATTTAAATATAGTATAAAATAATATAATTTATTTCATAATTGATTTATTAAATAATATATAATTTTCACTAAAAATTTATTATCATTGATTTTCTAATTAAGCATTAATGTCAAAAAAAATAATAATATTTTTATTTAGAAATAATTTATTATGTTTAATGAGTATTATTAGTAATTTTGTAAAAATAATTTACTGTACTATAATATATTTAAATTATAATATAACTTTTTTTGTAGATTTATCACTGATTTTGTAATTAATAATTTGATTTTTTTTAATGTCTAAAATAAAGTTTTATATTAAAAAAAATATTAGGTCTAATAATAATACAATTTATCACAATTACTATATGTTTGGACTGTTTGGAGATTTTTATATAAAGATTTAAAAATAATTACTTTTAAATTACATACAAATAAATAAAAATCTATGAAATTATTTTAACTAAATATTTATTTTAATATTTACTAAAAATAATTATAATAAGTAATTTTTTATTTTACAAACATATCTAATTAAAAGTTTTAAAAAAATGTTTTTCAGTTTAGTAATTCGTTGAAACAATAAATAAATAATTATATAAAAAAATAAAAACTGTAAGATTTAAACTGTTTAGAAATTTTTATGTTTAAATTAATAAATTTTATTTTATAATATGAATGTTACAACTAATCCATCTATTATTTTTAATTATTAATATAAATATTTAACAATTATTAGGTAATATTTTTTTCTGGTCAAAAATAAATATTTAACAACAATATTAATTTTTTATTTTTATTGATTGTTTTTTTTTAATTTTATAAAATTAAATTTTAAGATTGCAATTAAATAATTTGTAATATTAAATCTAACATTAATAAATATATAAGTTTTTTTTATTTATATCAAATGCAYAATAACTAATATGTATAACTAATAAGATATTTTAATTAATAAACTAAAAAGTAATCTTCAATAATAAAAAAAATAATAGAAAATCTGTAAAAATTTATTTTTCATAATAATAATAATTTAGTTATTGATATTTTTGAAAAAATTTTTAAGTTTCTAATTATTAATTGTAATTTTAAATATATAATTATTCACATAAATATGTTAAACAATATTATTATTAATATAAATTATTGATTTAATACAATAGATTAAATTAGTTTCATAGATTTTTTGTTGGTTTGTTTGTTTACAATTTAACAATAGTTTTTTTTAAACCTATATAAAAATCACATAAACAGTCCATACATATAGTAATTGTGATTAATTGTAATGTATATTTGCACCTAATTATTTTAATATATATAAAATGTTTTATTTTTTAGACACAAAATTCATGTTATTAATTACAAAATCAAATGATAAATCACAATATAATTATTATAATTCAAAATATATTATAGTACAGTAAATTTGTTTTTTACAAAATTACTAAAAATACTCATTAAACATAATAAATTATTTTATATAATTAATAAATATTATTTTTTATTGTTGATATTAATGTTTTAATTAGAAAATCAATGATAATTTTGTTTTAATAAAGAAAATTAGAAATAAAATATATTATTTCATAATATTATATATATATATATATATATACATAATAATGTATATTTTTCTATTGTTATTATATTATTGTTTGTATTGTTATTGTTGATGTGATTAGTTTACAAGTTTACAATAATTTTAGTTAATTACACAGTGAAATATAATTTAAATAAAAATATATTATTATTATTATTATTATTATTATTATTATTATTAGCTTATGTTTTGACTTTTTGTACTGTATAACTGTATTAAATATAAGATTTTCATTAATTAAATAATAATAAGATTTTCATTAATTAAATACTAATAATATTTTCATTAATTAAATACTAATAATATTTTCATTAATTAAATAATAATAAGATTTTCATTAATTAAATACTAATAATATTTTCATTAATTAAATAATAATAAGATTTTCATTAATTAAATAATAATAAAATTTTCATTAATTAAATAATAATAAGATTTTCATAAATTAATAATAATAATGGACAAAATTATTAATGAAATTGAAGATACATTTTTAAAAAACTATATGACTATAACTGGTTTCAATGATTTTATTAATAATAATAATCCAATAACTAAACGGCGTTTAATTAGTATAATTTTTGTCTATTTAATACAATTAGTATTTTGTTTGCGTTATCTATTGTCGGGTATTATTGGCCGACAATGGATTCGTGAACTGGTATGCGATCCAATGTATATACTATTTGATAATAATAATAATAATACAAAACTATCGGCATTTATGATAGCCGATTGGTCACTGTTTACTATATTTGTGTTTATAACATGTCATCGGCAATACATTTCCAGACAATTGACAACCTTATTGGTAGTAATACATGAATTAGGTTTGAATACAACTAATACTACTACTAATACCAGACTAATATCTGTATTGTTATCATTGAATCCATACAAAACTAGACGATTGTTTGCTAAACTAAAATTACTGAATCGTCTACTATTGACATACCTGTACTGGTTAATGGTTGTCTGGACTAACCTAGGGTTTATATACATGATTTATTTAGCCTATATATATGGATACACTGGATCATCATCATCATCATCATTAGCATTATCATCGATAATTACAATAGTATTGGGTATACTATCCAATCTATTGTTTACCCTATTATCTTATTCAATAATATTTTCATTATTCATGGGTAGTCTACTAGTTAATGGCTATCTGATTGAATTGTTTATGGAAATTAATCGCCATATACGATTGGATATTTTTTTAGATTACTATCCAGGTATTAATAGACAATTGATCAAGCATAATCAGCTAACAACATTGATCTATAAAATTAATATATACTATAAATATATGGTATGGGCTATCTATTATGTATCGATAGTTGGTTTCGAGATAATGTTGTTTCTAATCAATGATCGACAAACAAAATTAATTGGTTCAATAATTTTATTGTTTATATTTATTTTCTTATTTTCAATGTTATTTATATTCAATCTAATGTGTGCCCGAATCATACGCGAAGCTCATCGACCCCGACGTCTACTCCAATCCTATATATGTCGTTCCCATCGACTATCGTATCGCCAGAAATGGAAACTCCAGTCAATGATTGAACATTTGTGTGGACCCGACATTGGGTTCTATTGTTTGGATTTATTTCCAATGAATAACTGGGAGTTTGCTATACTATGCGTTAATTTCAGTGCAAATCATTTATTGTTATTAAATAATTTTGCATATCATTTATAAACAGCTTATTATTTGGTATGTAAATTGTAATTTAAATTTATTAATATTTTTTAAATGTCAATTAAAAATCAATTATAATAAGCAATTAATTTAATACAGCTATTATTATAATTATTTTCTAAATAAATATTATGTAATGTTGTTTTGTTTAATATTTGTATAATTGGTAACATAAGTAATAAAACTACAAATATTATTTGATTTAATAAAAAAAATCACTATAACTAAACTAAAACATAACTTAAAAAATTAAATATATATATTTATCTTTTACATAAATTATTTGCATTAAAATAATTTTTTTATATAATTGTTTATTTTTATGATAACTTTCATCTATATATATATATATATAAATTATATATTCATCCACCTTTTAGCAAATCACCTAGTTAAAAATGCATTGTTGAGCATAAATTGTGCAAGGTTAAATTTGTGTCAAAAGTTTGGCACCAAAATTTTTATTTATTTATTTATGAAATATATTTTGTATTTTTAAATATATATATATATATTTATACTATATATATTATGTTAGTTTTATTTAATACTTTTGAAAACAATTTTTTTAATAATTAAAAATTTTATATTAAATTATAATAATTTTTTGTTATTTCTAATAATTATTAATTGTTTTAACTTAATATTATAATATTTGTAATTATTTATTAATTTTAGATTATACATATAAAAGATTATTTAATTGCATACTTAAAAATTTAATTTTCTAAAATTAAATAAAAAGTGTAATAATTGAATTGCTTTAATAAACTTAATCAATAAAAATTATAAAATAATTTCAATACTTGTTCAACAAAAATTAGAATTATTTAATTTATATATTTACTAATTAAATACTAATAAGTAATTTTTTAATTTTTAACTTACAAACTTACTGCTAATCTAAATAATTTTAAATGTTTTTTTTAGTTTATTAATTCATTGAAACAATTAATAAATTTTTTTTAATAAAAAAACTGTAATATTTAAACTGTATAGAATTTTTTAGGTTTAAATAAATAAAGTTTATTTTATACTAATGACTGTTACAATTAACCCAACTAAAATTTTTAATATAAATATTTAACAATAATTAAAATGATATTTTAAAAAAAAATAGTTTATTAAACATTAATAGGTATTTAACAAAAAATATTAGTTAACAATTTATTAAAAAAAAATTTTAATGAAATAAAATTAATTTTTATTGTAAATTTTATTATAAATTGTCAACAACAAAATTAATAGTAGTACTAAATTTTACTTTAAAATTTTTTTTTTTAATAATACTAATAAATGATAATATTTTACAATTTAGAAAATTATTTATTATTTTAAAAAAAAAATTGTTTACAAATTATTAGCAAACAAATAAAATTTAAATTAATTACTTATAAATTAATTAATTAATTTTTGTTTTTGTTATATAGATATATATATATACTCGGGTAGCTCATGTAGACTATAGATAGGGGGGGGTGAGTGGGTGTAGTCTACTTGAGAAACAGGGCCTTTTCGGCGGCCCGACGCTTGACCAGACCGGGCAATACTTTACCGCCCGCGTGAACCCATTTGCCGAACTCGTWGGCCGCGGCCGAGTAGTTTTTAGCTTTGACATACTTGAGCAGGGTAGATGTTTGCAGGGCACCGCATCCCAGATTAAAACTAAACGATACCAACTATTTAATGGATAATAATAATAATAATAATAACAATAATAAATTAAATGTATTATTAAATTTTAAAAAATAAATAAATATTTTAATATAAATATAAGTTAGAAATTAAAAAAATATAAGTTAGAAATTAAAAAAATATAAGTTAGAAATTAAAAAAATATAAGTTAAAAATTAAAAAATATAAGTTAGAAATTAAAAAAATATAAGTTAGAAATTAAAAAAATATAAGTTAGAAATTAAAAAAATATAAGTTAGAAATTAAAAAAATATAAGTTAGAAATTAAAAAAATATAAGTTAGAAATTAAATAATATAAGTTAGAAATTAAAAAAATATAAGTTAGAAATTAAAAAAATATAAATTTATTAATTTGTTGTTGTTGTTGATATATGTATGTATRTATGAATTTAATAATTAAATATAATTTATTTACTAGATTATTATTGTTATTAATTAGTATTATTTTTTTAGATTTTTGTTGTTGTAATAAAATTAATTCATATAATGTAGTTATAAGTACTATACTATAGTTTTTCATATGAATATAATTATGAATATAATAATTATAAATAAAAATTTAGACTAATTTTTTCAACACAAAAAAAATAAATTAAAATATTTAGCTAAACATAATTTAACTGTCACAATCTATCATATAATTTAATATTCAATAATAATAATAATGAATTTAATTAATTGTGTGTTTTGATTAGCTAATAATATTTGAAATTTTTTGTTTGTAAAATATTTATATCTAAAATCTTATTTTTTAAAAAAATATATGTTTTTCTATTATACAAATACATGTATTAAATTATAACAAAAAAACTGTAACAATTAAATTGCTTAATATATTTGWCAATTAATAACATTATTACTAACAAATTATAAATAGCTTAGCCAAACATCAAATACAATATAATTAATTTTAGATTATTTTTTAAAAAAAATTTATTAATAATTATAAATTTTTMAAAAAAAACTTACCGCGGCAAATTTATTATCACTTAATTTTGGTGCCAATCGTTCAACACAATTTTCAAATTGAACCAGATCACTAGTCAATAAGGTATTACCYTGAGCCTCGCTAATGGGTGCATGTATATTTTTGCATCCCAGTGCATCGCAATTATGACCGTAGCCAATTGTGCGTATACCCTAGTTAATTTTAAAAAAAAAAATAAATAAATAATAATTATTTAAAAAATCAATAATTTATATTATAATTTATATATATATATATATATATATAGATATATAAGTAGACTAACCACTGGATCGCCATAAAAGTTTGCCCGAAAACCTTCATATTGTTTGATTAGATTACGGCCAGTCGTGTTAATCAAACGTCCCGATACCAGACCCGATGCTAACAATAAAACAGTTAGTATTTGTTTCCACATTATTAATAATTATTACTATTATTATTGATAATAATAATAATAATAATAATAATAGTTTTTAATTTTTTTAAACTAGTTTTTATTTTAATAAAAATTTAATTAAAAAAATATGCTTTTATACACACAAAAAAAATCAAAAACGATTAGCAAACAAAAATATGTTTGATATTTACGTCAATTATTAAATACACATTTGATWWTATCAATTAATTATTATGATTAACTATTTTATTGTTTTGACACTAAAAGTATAATAAACTTTTTTTTWATAAAAAAAACTTGATATTTTTKAGTGGAAATTTACAATTTAATATATATATTATTGTAWAAAAAWTKTGTAAACACTTTAAATTAAATATTGCTTAATAGATATATTATTTCTTAGTTAATAAATTAATCTAGGTGGAAAATTTTATACAAAATAAATTTATATATTATTTATTTATTTTTTGTATCAATTATTAATTGCAATATGTATTGTTATTAATTTATATGGAAATGTGTTTTTTAAAAATTATAAATTTATAAGAAAATTAATATATTTAATTTGACTTTTAATWATTTAATGTATTATTTTATAGTAAATAAAATAATTAAATAAATACTGTATATAAAATAGTTAACACTGATAAAATAAATATTGCACTATTTAAAGTTAAAATRTAATTATAAATATTTAGACTAATTTTGATAAATAATACAACAAAAATTAAATAAAAAAATTTTATATTAACTTTTTATATTAACCCGGATTTTAAATAYAATAACACAACCAAAAAAACAAGTTATTAACTTTATATCTATAAAAAACTACTAATTATATCATTTTTTACAACAATTTTTATTTTATTTACTATTATTAATATTATTTTTGTTATCTTTTCCGTTATTTTTTTTATAATCTTATCATAAAAATCATTATTAAATAAATAAAAATACATAAATTTTTTTCAAATAATTATATTATCATTTATATATCATTATTAATAAATTAATCAAACATTTTCAATTAAATGTACATAAAATTTTATTTTCAAACTAATTTACAAAAAAATTATTTTATTTTATTTTTRAAAAAACAAAAATCAATATATATATTTTAATACAATATATATTGTTTTAATATATTATAATTATTTATTAATTTTTTTTAAAAAATATTAATATCAAATTTTTAGTTTTTTATTAATTGGGTATCTATTATTATGTTGCTCATGTAGTTAAAAAAAATATTTATAGTTAGTTTATTATRGGGTAATTGGGTTTAAGGGGGTGGGGGTGGGAACGGTAGTATTTTRTGTGGTTTCAACTGAGAAACAATGCCCGTTCAGCGGCCCGACGTTTGACCAGTCCTTSYARTMSTTTACCGCCGGCGTAAACCCATTTGCCAAACTCGTTGGCCGCGGCYGACCAGTTTTTGAGTGGACATATTGGAGCAAGGTYGATGTTTGTAGGGCACCGCAACCCTCGTTAAATGAAAATGATACAAGCTACAATAATAAATAATAATAAATTTTAAAAAATTAATAATTTTCAATATTTATATTTTAATTAATTAATATATTAATCTATATATATATAGTATACCGTATATTGCATTTTGTAAAGTTTTATAAATATAATAAATTTAATTTATTATAAATATTTTATTAATTTATTTAGTTAGAAAAAAATATCATAATAATAATAATTTTGTTTAAAATATATTATAATTATTAACTACTTATTGGATATTAATAGTAAATAAAAAAATTTAAAAAATTATTTTCAATTAGTGTATGTAATATATATTAATTATTAAATACTTATAACTACTTATATATAATTATAAATATATTAATAATATATATTGAATTTTTTAAATAATATATAATTTATTTAAGTTTATTAATTTATTTAGTTAGAAAAAAATATCATAATAATAATAATTTTGTTTAATATATATATATATATAAAGTTATTATTTTTTTAAAAAAAACTTTATTTTTCATTTTGTTTAATGTATTTTTTTTGTTTGTTTGTTTTATTTTTGATACATTTTATTTAGTTTAATGAAATATTTATTTATTTATTTTTTAAATTAAAATAGTTATGATAAAATTATATTTTATTTTTTTTATAAAAAATTAATAATAATTTTTACTTACGGCCGAAAATTGATTATCATTGAGTCCCGGAGCCGCCTTGATTGACACAATTTTGAAACTGTACCAAATCCTGGGTTAGTAGTGCATCGCCCTGAGCCTGGCTTATGGGYGGATGTATACTATTACATCCCTGAGCCTTACAGTTATGTCCATAGCCAATGGTACGGATACCCTAAATAAAATGACAGTTAAAAAAAAATCCAACAAAAATTAATAAATATTATTATTAGTTTAAACAAAATGTATAWTTTTTTAGGTRAAAAATTTAATTTAAAATTTTTTAAACTRTAATAAAATAAYTAACTTATAAATCATAGATAWTTWTATTTAGGAAAATAATTAATACTATTGGAGAAGACAATTCCAATTTTAATAAAAAAAAATTTTAATTAAGTATTTTTTTTATAAAAAAAAATTTATTTAAAACTATTAGTTTATTATTTATTTTTTTTAGAAATTTCATTGAACCCCCCCCCCATTTATAACCATCTATTAAAAAAAAAATATTTTTTACTGTACCACTGGGTCSCCGTAAAAGTTGGCCCGAAAACCCTCAAACTGTTTGATTAGATTACGTCCGCTTGTATTGATGTTACGGCCCGACACCAAACCGACGACCACCAGTACCACCAGTGCTAGCGATTTCCACATTATTTTTGCTATTGTTTTTTGAATAATAAATTTACTAATTTTTTTCAATAAACTAAAATTACTTTTTTTAAAAATAAAAATAAAATTAATTATTTATATACAATTTATACAATGTAACCTAAATTTTATCAATTAAAATTATTTGATATATACAGTATATATATCACACATGTATTGTTGTTGTTATTAAATTAATTTTTTAATAGTTTTTTTTAATTAAAAATATATTTATCAATATATCTATTATAACTATCCCYAAAAAACAACTWTAATTAGGTTTRTTATCATCAAARAAAAATAGCAACAATAATGTAGTTTATTTAGTAATTTTAGTATTAAGTTTATTATTACACAATAATTGATAATTTTCATAATAATAATAATAATAATGTATTATTGATAATATAAAATAATATTAATTATCATTTATGGATATATATATATATATATATAAATAGGATATGATTTTCAATGACATATTAATAAGGATTTGATTTTTATTTTATTTTTTAGTAAATTTATGAAAAATAAATAATCAAAAAATTTTTAATATTAATTTTTCAGTGATTATATCATTAYATAAAATTTAATAWTAGGAAAAAATAATGATAATTATAATTATTAACTACATTTAGGATATTAATAGTAAATAATAATTTTTTATTAAAAAAAATTTATGTTTAAAGTCTATAAAAAATTATTATCAATTAGTGTATGTAATATATATATATATATTTAATTAATTATTAWATATATATATATATAAATCATATGAGTAACTTAATCAATTAAATAATTATTTTTTAAAAAAATAAAACACTTAAACTTTAATACAAGATTAAAAATTTTTAAGATTAAATAATACTTAATATTATTTATATATAATAAAAAAATTAATATTATTTTTATCATAATAAATGTARACATTGTGTCTATTTTTTTATAATATTATCATATATTTCTAGTATTATGTAATTAATATATCATAAAAATTGTTAAAATGTGTCAAAAAATAACTCATTATATACCGGTATATATATATATTGAAAAAATACAATAAGTTTTAAACAAAAAATAAATTTAGTTGAAAATTAAAATAAACTCAATATTACATAAAAATATATTGTATTAATAATTTATTTAACAAAAAAAACAAGGTCATAACTATAATATAMAATTAATACATTTAAAACAAAAAATAAATTTATCATTATATATAATAATATAGCTGTAATCTAACAATAGTCAATTGTTTTATACATTATATAAATTAGTAAATTAATATAATATTTATATTTATATTTATATATTTTAATAGTACTATATATAAAAGATATAATATAAAAATAATTAGACAATAATTATATAATAAACTAAATAAATTAATTAATTATCAAAAAAAATAATATTATAATTATATATAAAAATCTTAAATACTATTTATTTTATTAAAAAAAAAAACACTTTATTATTAATAATAATATTTATTTATTTATATTTTTAAATTAATTTTTTTTACAATAAATTTGATTTATTTCAGTAATAATAATAATACAGTTTAGCTTCTAAACAGTGCCTCCTCGGCATGTCTACGGTTGACCAGACCCGGTATGACCCGACCGCCGGCTACGACATACTCGTTGAAAGCGGTGGCYGCGGCATTGAAATTGTTGGCCCGTATATTGGACAGTATATGTGAGCCGGTAAATGCACCGCAACCCATATTAAAGGCAAATGAGGTACACTAGTTTTTTTTTAAAAAAAATTAAAAAAAAATTAAAATTGTTATTAAAAATATCTTAATAATATTTTTTTTAAAAATAATAAAAATAATGTTAACAATAATWATTATTWTAATTATAGAAAAACTGTAATGTTTTAATTAATATTAATAATTACTTACATAAATAATAGTTTATATTATTTAAATATTTAGATTAAAAAATATTAATTATTTTTTTAGGTTTTATCATAAATATTATCTAAATATTTACTGTATTTAATATACTTATTATTATTATTATTATTATTATTATTATTATTATTATTAAAAATAAAACTGTAATATAATAATTAATACTAAATATTTATCATTGATTATAACTATAAYACTAATTAAAATWTTGAACWAGTGTTGTTAATGACTTTTTWWAAATTAAAAAAAAATATATATRAAAAATTAAAAATAAATAAATATATTAAWAATGMTGAATTTTACCTWATTTATAAATTTGATAACTATTTTAMAACTAGCATAAATTYAATACTAATAATAATAATAATAATTTTTAGTGTTTGATATAAAAAAAATTAAAAACTAAAATAARTRTTTAATACATACGGCAGCAAACTGGTTATCATTCAAATTGGGTGCGGCACCCTGKACACAATTTTCAAACTCAACCAGGTCCTGCATCATAATCTGGGTACCCTGGGCCTCGCTTATGGGCGGATGAATATCGTTGCAATTGTTATGCCATACACAAGCGTGACCGTAGCCAATAGTTTTGAGACCCTGGTTATGTAGTAGTAGTAGATTTAACAAAAAAAAATTAATAAATTAAATTAAAATTATTAGCATGGTAAAAAATTATTATTTTTATTAAAAAAAATACATACAATTTGATCATAATAAAAATCGGCCCTGAAACCCTCTTGTTGCTTAATCAAATTGATACCGTTGCCGTTAATTTGACGGGCACTGGCCATGGCCAGGGCTGCCGAAATTATGRCTATAATGGCAWACACCTGCATATTGTTTTTTTTKTTTGAAAATATTTTTTATATAACTAAAAAATAAAATAWAATTTAATATACTAATAATAAATGCTAGTGCGATGTTAGCATTTATATAGCTAATTTTTTTTACTAACTAGTTTGTACCCATGTACATTTATATTATTATTTATTTATCWTAGCTATCTAWTTAATTAATTAATTGATTATGTTTATCAGTTACCTATGTTTAACAGATTTATTATTATTATTATTATTAAATTTTTTGAGTGCAGCAGATGTTTGTATTAAATATATTTATATATATATATAAGTCAATTAAACTTATATTTTTTTCACCATTTGTGTGCATGATCATTTATCTAATATTTTTTTTTAATTTAGCAAAAAAATCTAGAATTCACTGATGATTCACTTTATATTAATTAGTAGTTTTCTATTGTTATCTTATATGTTTTTTGTGTAATATTAATTAAACAATATATTAAATTAAATAGATAAAATTTTTTATTATAAAAATATTACTATAAGACAATAAATAAATTAATTAAATTTATAARTCTAAATWAAAAATGATTTTAATTGTCAATTTATTAATTGTATTTAAWAAATTTSATAAAAYATAAMAAAAATTCAATTTATTTAATGAAATAATTTTTATAAAATKMTAAAAAATTAATAATCAATAAATACATCAAAATGTTAAAAAACCAGTTGTTTTTATTTTTTTGATAAACTATTTTAATTTACGTCAATAAATAAAGTACTTTTATATTAAAATATCTATTTTTTATTATAAATTAAATAATTTATTAGAAAATATTAAATTTACAAGTTATCTGAAAACATWTTATAATTAAAAAAAATCATTAATCAAATAATAAAATGTTTAATTTTGAAATTTTGWTTTATAATAAAAATTTTATTTAATATAATAATAATATTATTATAATAATAACTTTATTTACATTTAATTATTAAATAATAATAATAATAATAATAACAAAAACAACAATAAAACAATAACCCAGGATATTGYTTGAAATATTTATAAATATATATATWTATATWTTATTATCTASAAAAAAATAAACAAAAATTTAAAAAACATCCTTGATAAAATAGGTTTATTTTATTTATTTAAACTATTTATATAAAACAACAACAAAATACTAATACTATATATTATATATAATATTTATTATATTATCTTATAATAAATAAAGTTTATTARTAATTATAAATGCAATAAATAAACAAATAAATACAACAAAAAAAACACATAAAAAACAATTATWTATATAATAAATAATAAACTATTTATWACATCAACAACAAAAAAATCATAAGTTAAATAAACATTAAATACAATTGTTTTTTTTCGGKGGGTGGGGGGGTGGGGGTGAGGGGTRGTGTTAACGTCKCAAAAACAATTGACGATCCCTTTCCCGGCGGACAGTTAGTCCGGCAATTACCCGWCCGCCGGCCCGGTTATACTGGCGAAACGAGTCGGCCGCCTGTTGCCARCGTCSGSCCCGGATATTGGCCAACACTGACGACCCGGTGAATGCACCGCAACCCATATTGAAGGCAAAGTCTACACACTAGTTAAGTGGGGGTGGGGTGTRGGGGTGGGGGCAAAAAAAAAATTAATTAATTGTATATATAACTTTAGACTATGTATAGTAAATATGTATATATATATATATATACGGCTGCAAACTGATTATCGTTGAGTCCAGGTGCCAATTGTTTGACACATTTTTCAAATTGAACCAGATCAGTTATCAACAATTTGGTAGCCTGGTGCTCGGTTAGGGGCGGTCTAATATGGCCACACCCTTGCCATTTGCAAGCGTGTCCATAGCCTATTGTTTTCAGACCCTGTAGGTTAGTGGTGTTGTTGTTGTATAGCCCAGAGTCCAACATAACGGTCCCAGCAATAAAAAAATTAAAATTATTAAAAATTTAACATGATAATTTTTTTTTAGATACATACAATTTGATCATAGTAATAATTGGGCATAAACCCCTCGGATAGTTTAATCAATTGCAGGCCAGCTTGATTGATGCGTCTACCACAATTAGCTTGGTGAATTAATACTATAATTATTATTACCAAGCTAAATAATTGAAAATTTAATTTTAAAAAATTTAACTGTTTAATCATGTTTTTAAATTGAATCGCTAAAACAATATTATATATATATATGTGTGTTTTTGTTAAATATATATAAATTGCAAATAAAATTTTTGCTATTAATTTTTTAGTTTGCCTTATTTATATATATACAATACTACCGGTAATTTATATATATATATATATTTATACGGTATATATATATACAATACTACCGGTAATTTATATATATATATATATATATTTATTTATACGGTATATATACAATACTACCGGTAATTTATATATATATATATATATTATATATAAACAATTTATAAAAAAAATAAAACAATAATTATTTACCATTTTTGGATACTACCGGTTATTTTTTTTATTTATTGTTTTTATTATTAGACAAAAATTTTTCAGTAAAAATAGGCAATAATATTGAATATGTATAAAAAATTATAACAAAAAAAATGTACATAAAAAATATTTTTTTTTCCAATTTATATGTTGTTATTATTATATTAATAAATATATTATTAATAATAATTATAATAAATCCATAATTTATTAATTGAGATATTACTGTATCTATATTTGTGTGTGTGTGTGATATTAATTTCATAAATAATAGTAATAATAATAATAATAATAATGTTTTTGTTAATATAAATTATAATATTTTATAATATATACTAAATAATAAAATTATATATATATTTAAAAATAATTATATAATATATTATATGTAGATTATTATTATTGTTTTTGTTTAGTAAAAAAAATATATTCATATACTTAATTAATCTTAAAATTATTATTGTTTCTTATTTTTTTTGAATAATTTATTATAACATAAATTATAATAATAGGTTTCATAGTTAAAAATAATAATAATAATAATGCATTATATAAGTAAAATTTATTAAATAACAAATATTATTGCATATTTTTAACTTAAAAAATAGTATAATATTAATTATAGAGCAAAAAGCTAACTAAATATACAAATATGATTTTAAAATTTTAGTTTAAAAATTTTTAAAAATTTTATAATTACTCCAACTATAAATATAATTTTTAAAAAAAATTAGTAATCAATATTTAAATAAAAATAATATTTCAAAAAAATAAAAGTATGTTTCTATAAGCTTTAATAAACAAAATTAATTAAGTTAAGTTAAATAATTTTTAAAATATTTAAAATAACTCATAATTTATCTTTAATATTTTTATCAATTATTTTTAAATTTCAAATAAATGATTATTTTATTTTTTGTTACAATACAAATTGCGTATATGTAATATTATACTTTGTATAAAAAATGATCTAAAATTTACTTGATGAGGTTGAAAAGTTTATAAATTTTAATTGAATATTTAACTATACCTTTATAAATTTTTTAATAAAATCTATTAAATCTAATAATAAAAAATTTTAGTCAAAACACGAGTATCTACTATTTTGCGACTAAATTTATATCTATATATAAATTTATGTCATATATATAACATTGGATTTAATTAATTAATAATTTTGTTTTTAAAATTTTTTTGTTATTCCCATCATATTTTAGGTGCATTTAGAGGCAATCATCTCTATTGATTAATATAGTTTAAAAGCTAATAATAATAACTTAATTACAAAATCAATTATAATTAGTTAGACAAACAATAGACTAGTAAACTTGTGTTTTATAAATAATTTTTAAATATACCTTTATAAATTTATAATAAAATCTATTAAATCTAATAATAAAAATTTGTTATTGCCAAAATACGTGTATAACCTATTTTGACATCTATATATTTATATATATAATTTATGACATGTAAATAACAATAGATTCAATTAATTAATTATTTTTATATAAATTTTATTGTTATTCCAATCATTTTTTAGGTGCATTTAGAGGCAATCATCTCTATTTTAATATAGTTTAAAAGCTAATAATTATTAAAAAAATCAATTATTAATTATATTATAAATAATTTTTTCTATATTAATAAAAACTTTATTATTATCAAATTATTTTAAATATTATTGTAAATGAATTATTAATATTAAATTATTTGCATTTTAAAAACTTTTAACAACATATAATATTTGAGACTAACATTTAATTTTTAAATTATAYATTAATAATTAATAGATAATATTATTGTATTTTTTTAAATAAAAAAATGGACAAAATTATCGATGAAATTGAAAATATGTTTTATAAATATTATCTAATTATTGATAATTTTGATGATTATATGAATAATAATAATAACAACAATAAGCCAACTAAGCGGCGCCGCCTAATGGGTATAATAATTGCCGATTTGATTTTACTAGTCTATTGTTTGCGTTATCTGGTATCAGCACTGGTAGACAATCGATGGATAAGCCAACTGGTATGCGATCCAATGTACATACTATATGGTAATTCACAATTAKCATCGATGGTAATGCTAGATTGTTCACTATTTATATTGGTATTATTTCTAACATTTCAATTGGAGTTTATTATTATTATTATTAAAAAAATCAATTGAAACCACTTTGGCAACTATTTCATGGTTTAGGCTATCCTCAAGTCGATAGACAACCAATCGTTCAACCATTGAATCCATACAATACACGCAAATTATTTGCTAAACAAAAATTAGCTAACCTTTTAATATTGAAATATCTATTCAGATCAATAATTGTTTGGACAAACAATGGACTAACGGTAATGATTTATTTAGCATATATAGATCAACCGGAATCGGTATCAATATTTAATACCATTACCAAACAATTGATTGGATTATTTGGATTCCTATCGAATCTATTATATATGCAATTATATTATTCAAGTATATTATCGATATTTTCAGCATCACTATTGGTTAATAATTATTTTATTATTAAATTTCTGGAAATTAATCAACTAATAAAATTATATGTTCTATTGGATTATTATCCAGGTGTTAATAGACAATTAATCAAGCATAGATTGCTTAGTAAATGGGTATACAATGTTAATAAACTATATAAATATATGATATTTGCTACATATTATGTATCGATAATTGGTTTTGAGATAATGTTGTACCTAATAAACGATAGAAATACAAAATTGATTGGTTCAATATTTTTAGCATTTATATTTATTTTCTTATTTTCAATGATGTTTATCTATAATCTAATGTGCGTACGAATTACACGTGCGGCTCATCGACCCTGACGTCTACTCGAGTCCTAATATATGTCGTTCCCATCGACTATCGTATCGCCAGAAATGGAAACTCCAGTCAATGATTGAACGTTTGTGTGGACCCGACATTGGTTTCTATTGTTTGGATTTATTTCCAATGAATAACTGGGAGTTTGCTATAATGTGTGTGAATTTCAGTGCAAATCATTTATTATTGTTAAGTAATTTTGCATAAAATTTATTTATATTAATTTTTAATAAAGTATAAAGTTGTTAATATTAATTTTATTATTAACAAATACTTTTCCTAAATCTATTAAATCTATTAATAAAAAATAATGTTATAGCAAAAATACGTGTATCACCTATTTTGCTACCTAATTTATATATATATATACTATATATACTTTATGTCATTTATACAACATTGGATTCATTTTGTTTAATTATTTTATATTAATTTTGTTGTTATTCCCATCATTTTTAGGTGCATTTAGAGACTATTACTTAATATAGTTTAAAAACCTAATAAACTAATTACAAAATTATAATTATAATTATATAGACAAACAATTGAGCAACAAGTGAACTGGTATTCTCTAAATAATACTAAAAATATATATAATATTCATAATTTTCTATTGAATAAAAATTATTATTATTATTCTAAAATAATTGTAATCAAAATAAACTAATTAATTACAAAATCAATTATACTTATGATACGTAATCTATGATAATAAATTATTCGTACTATATATATATATATATACTATAAATAATATTTTATGTTATTTTACTTATTATTGCAATGGTAACTTATATAATAATATTAATTATTATTATTATTTATAGATAGATAATTTGTTTCACCTATACTATAGTTTGTATAGTATATGATTTTTTCTATAGATGACATATAAACAGTTTTATATTATGATTCTTAAAATTAAGATACAAACAGTTTTTTTAACAAATATTTATAAAAATAGAAATTAAATAAAAATTGTTTATATGATTTTATTGATTTATTTTAATTTACTTATTAAAAATTTTATAGAAGATTAATTAAGATAGTAATAATTTTTTTTTAAATAGTAATTTTAATTAATAATAATAATGGAAAAAATTATTACTGAAATTGAAGATATTTTAATCAAATACTATATAGTAATATATAATTTTGATGATCATATCAATAATAATACGATATCTAATCGACATTTATTGGGTATAATTACTGTCGATTCGGTTTTATTAGTATTTTGTTTCAGATTTATATTATCGGGTATTTTCAACAATCAATTAATACGTGAACTGGTATGCGATTCAATGTATAAACTATTTAATAATCGACAATTGGCTACATTTATACTAATCGATTGGTCAATGTTTACCCTAATATTACTACTAATATTTCAAATACAATCAGCGTTTAGTAGTTGTCAGAAAAAATTACCGTCAATTTGGTTATTATTTCATGAATTACGCAATACGTATACATTATTAGATATACCATTGAATCGATTAAATACTAGACGATTGTTAGCTAAAAGTAGATTTGCTAAACGTTTACTATTAAGTTATATATATTGGTTAATAAATATATGGACTAATTTAGCATTTTTATGTATGATTTATTTGGCTTATATAGATAAATTAAGTATAGGTGCTGATGAATGGCATACAATTCCACTAATAATAATAATCATAATATTGGGTATACTATCGAATATATTGTATACAATGTTATCATATTTAATATTATTTACATTATTTATTGTGGGTTTAATAATTAATCAATATTTTAAAT